AAATTTTGAAATACTGTGATATTCATATTTATGCCGACGATGTCCAAATAGAAATAACGGATTAGTAATTAACCCAAACAAATCTCAATGTATTCCAATTTATAGACGACACTTCGCACTTGATGAACATCACAAAATAATTTTCAACAATTCAGTGATAGATTTTGTTGACACTGCGAGAAACCTAGGCAAGTAAGTTACTAGTTAAATTATTAAATGCATTTGTGCTTAGCCATGTAATCCTAACATCCAACACTTGAAAGTAAAACCACCGGGTTGTGGTGTTAGATTTGTACCGTAATTGAAATAAATAAATAAATAAAGTATGGGCTTGATTTAAGATACATAAATATATCCATACGAAGTTCCAGTACTGTACCATAAATATTTCTAGGGATATGCGGTATGAAAAATTTGGTTTGTATAGGATCTGCCACGGCCCCTATTCCAATAGCTCAAATTTTCCTCAAAGAGTGTGCGATTGATTTCATATACCTCAATACAAGTTCCAGTACCCTACCATGACTAGTTTCAGAGATATCCAGTATGGGAAATTCGGTTTGTATGTGAGGTGCCACAACCCCATTTCCAATAGCACACATTTTTCACCAAGAGTATGCGATTGATTTTATATATCTCCATACCAAGTTCCACTACTCTACCATGAACACTTCCAGAGATATGCGGCATGAAAAATTCATTTTGTATTGAAGGTGCCACTACCTCTTTAACAATAGCTCCAATTATCCTCCAAGAGTTTGTGATAGATTTCATATAACGCAATACCAAGTCCTAGTATTCTACCATTAACACTTTCAGAGATATGCAGTATAAAAAATTCGGTTTGTATGGGAGGTGTCATGCCCCCCTTTCATTTTCCTTTTCTTTTTCCTTTTCCTTTTCCAATAGCTCCAATTTTTCTGCAATAGTATGAGATTTATTTCATATATGTATCTCCAAACCAAGCTCCAGTACTATACCATGAACATTTCCAGAGATATGCAGTAAAAAATATTCGGTTTGTATGGAAGGTACCACGCCCCCTTATCCAATTGATCTAATTTTTCTCCGGAAGTATGCGATTTATTTCGTTTATCTTCATACCAAGTTCCAGTGCTGTACCGTGAACATTTGCAGAGATATGCAGTATGAAATACTATGTTTTTATGGGAGTTTCTAAGCGCCTTATCCAGTAGCTCTATTTTTCTCCGGGAGTAAGCGATTGATTTTACATGTCTCCAAACCAAGTTCCAGAACTCTACCATGACTACTTTCAGAAATATGCAGTATGGGAAGTTTGGTTTGTACGGGAGGCGCCACGCCCCCTTTTCCCATAGCTCCAATTTTTCAATATTCCAATATTCTACCGTGAACACTTTAAGAGATAAGCAGTATAAAAATTTGGTGTGTATGTGAGATGTCACGCCCCCTTTTAATTTTCCAATAGCTCCAATTTTTCTCCAATAGTATGAGATTTATTTCGTATATCTCCATACCAAGTTCCACTACTCTACCATGAACATTTCCAGAGATATGCAGTATGAAATATTCGGTTTGTATGGGAGGAAACACGACCCCTTATCCAATAGCTCTAATTTATCTCCGGGAGTATGCGGTTGATTTCAAATATCTCCATACCAAGTTCCAGTACTCTATCGCGAACATTTCCAGAGATATGCAGTATGAAAAATTCGGTTTGTATGGGAGGTACCACGCCCCTTTTCCAGTAGCTCCAATTTTTCTCCAATGGTATGCGATTGAATTCGTTTATCTCCATACCTAGTTCCAGAACTCTACCATGACTACTTTCAGAGATATGCAGGATGAAATTTTCGCTTTATACGGGAGGAGCGACGCCCCCTTTTCCCATAGCTCCAATTTTACTCCAAGTTTACACCAAGTTCCAATATTCTACCATGAACACGTTCAGAGATATGCGTATAAAAATAAGGTTTGTATGCCAGGTGCCACGCCCCCTATTCATTTTCCAATACCTCCAATTTTTCTCCAATAATATGAGGTTTATTTCGTATATCTCCATGCAAAGTTCCAGTACCCTAAATTGAACTTTTCCAGAGATATGCAGTAGTAGTATTTAAATACGGGTTCTAGACCAAATGGTGAAAGGAAAAATAGTGTTTTTTGGCGAAAAGGAATGTATGTACATACTTACATATACATATTGGTGAGAATTTAATGTGACCACAAGTGTGTATGTTTATTTTGTGGTTTTTAGACAGACACTCATTATGCAGGGGCTACATACATAAGGTGTTTTTTGGCGAAAAGGAATGTATGTACATACTTACATATATATATGGGTGAGAATTTAATATGAGCACAAGTGTGTATGTTTATTTTGTGGTTTTTAGACAGACACCCATTATGCAGGAGCTGTTCAGGGTTTAAGGGGTAGGGCGCTGGGGCGCTGGGGCTATGGGAGGGCGCTGAGAGGTAGGTGTTGGGGACTGGCCGCTGACGGTTGGGGACTGGACGCTGGCGGCTGGGGGCTGAGGGGTTGGGGTTGGGGCTGTCGCTGGAGTGAACGCTTGGAGAGAGGGGTCGAGCGTGTGGTGGGGGCGCGGGGCGCTTTTTTGTAAGGGAAAAGTTGGCGCTCCCGTTTTAATAAAAAGTGTGTGTGTGTGTGTGAGAATTTTATGAAACCACATAAATATGAAGATTGGGCAATTTATTTATGTTTTTAATTTAAGTGATAAAACCATAAAAAAATATATTTCATTATTAATTTTCATAATGTTTACGACAGTAGATGTTCAAGGCTTCAAAGCATACGATAATAGATTTATTGTAAAGGAAATAGCTGTGGTCTTTAATAATGAAGAATTTCATTGTTTCCACATCAAAGCTCTGACCTGAGTAAGGATAATCAACGACAAGCTAATTGGTTAATGTTTCACCATCATAATTTATTATGGTCATATGGAAGTGATAGTTTTAAATCTGTAAGAAACTATTTAACATCAGCATTGAAAAACTTAAAAGTTTATGTAAAGGGAGAAGGAAAGAAAGTGTGGATAGCGGAGTTCCTCCAAAAGCCGGTGTTTAACATTGAAGAGGAGAGTACAGAATGTATGAATCTCAATAGATTATACAGTTTATACCAAGACGCTGTGCGTTGTCAGTATCATTTTCATACTGAGTGTAATGTAAAAATCAACCGACTACAAATTCGTTGTGCTTTAAAAACAGCATGTATTTTGTTTAAGTACATACTGTATA